GAATCTAATGATAGATTGTCTTTTTTTAAGATCAAAATGATTCATTTACTTGAAGTCATTTTTTAATCATTGATCTGAGAAAATGGTTGTATAGAGCTGATAGACATTTTGGAAAAAGTTGGATGCAATGCATGACATCCATATAAGAGTGCCTTTCTTAGTATGAAGGTAGAAAGTTTGATTCTAACTGTTAACTATAATAACTGGTATAACCAGTTATCTCCACCCCCAAATTAATGGACTGTTCTTATCAGCAGGGGTATAGACTTGTGTCCCTTTTTGCCCAGGGTGGATTGGCCCATTAGATACTATTTAAACTGCTGTGATGTTTCTCTTGGTACTTTAACTTTGATTTGCTTATATTTGGCTCAGACAAGCAAGGACTACCTTTGTGAAAGAGTGTGTGCACTTTCAGTGTAGTTATTTCTCATTCTTGTTTTATTTTACGTGACCATCCTGGGTATGATGATAAACTACATCCGCCTCCTGGGTAAGACAATAAACTATGTCCAGCAGCAAGGCCACTGATCAGGAGGTTTTGAGGAGCGTGGAACCACCTCTTAATTGCTGGTGTTCCCAGGTCCACCCTGACCCAGAGAAGGTAGCATCTGTTAGGGTCCCAGCTATTGGCAAATAGTTAACTATTACCAGCACTAATTTTTTGAAAAAAAAAATCATTACCAGCAATACATTTTTCAAGGAAAAATATTACCTGAAACAGATTTTTGACAAAACAAAATATTACCAGCAATAAAATTTTTTTTCAATATTAAATAACCCATTGAGATTGATATGCCATAAAACAAAACCAAAGCAACCAAACGATCTTTTACATGAACTTTGCTACTTTTCAGTTTTCTTTTTTCCTTACTTTTTTCTTTTCCATAATTCCATTTGTTATTCTTTAGTTTAATTCTTTTTTTTTGTATTTGTTTTTTAATTTAATTTTATTTTCTGTGTTATTTTGTTTGCCTTTCTTCCTTAAGCAAGACTTTATTTTGAAAGTTTTATTTGTACGTTTTATTTTGCCTAATTTTTGTACTGTCTAGTTAGCAGATGTGATTGTCCTGTGAGCTATTTGTTTTTGTGTGTGCCCCTGCCAAAATGGCTGTGGTGTCTCAGCAGCTAGATCAGCCAGCAAGTCCCCATACCTCAGTGTGGGTGGTGGACAGGTCCCCAAAAAAGGGTACTGAATATTACATGGTGGTATGAAAAAAAGTTCCAGAAGTACATTTCAGGCGATGAACTCTTGACCATTCCATCAGCCTGGGAGGAAATTTCAAGAAGGACAATTTCCCTGCAGACATCTGATGTAAATACCAGGAAGTTGGTGGGTATCAGCAGGTAAGGAATGGAGGAAGCATTCAGGTGCCTGAGCATTGCAGTGAAGGTGTTGTCAAGAAGGTCAAACACAATGTGGAAACATCTTGTTGACATGAGAAGAGGAGGCTAAAACATTAGCAGGATGCATCCTCACCACAAAGTCAGTTAGGATGCAAACTGAGTATATTGGCACCAAAAGGACCAAGATCACTTTGCATAGTGTGTCCATGGATATAGGAGAGGACCTTGTTGGAGTTTTCTTTACAGAGGTTGCAGCAGGAAGAGGAAGGAAAAAATGTGAAAAAAGGAAAGAAAGCCAGCTGTAGCAGGGCAGCATGCATCATGGAACAGGCAAAGTCACAATCCACCCCTGTTTTGCCAGCCAGAAATGATACAGCCACAGGGAAGGCTAAGAGCCTCCCTTCTTCCCCAGATTAGGCTCTGATATCTCCCTCCCCTTCCCCACCCCAACCCAAAAGGAAAAGAATCCTTTCCCCAAGGAGAAAAGCATCTATCTGGCGACTAGACAGGAGCTTGAGAAGGACCTCTCCTCTTAGAGGAAGGTCCTCTTGATATCCCTGTTTAAATTGACTTCTTTTGATGGACCCCAAGATAGACAGGAGACAGGGAGCTAGCGGGAGGTCAGGAAATCGTAGTCTGGTCGATCTGATCAGTGAGTTCAGGCTCGATAGATATCAGGTTGATCGTCTGGAGTGGGAGATGTGGACATGGGCTCTTAAGTAGCCAGCTACCTGGATAAAATGGTAGTAAGAAGTTGTGTTTGGGGGAATGTTGTCGCCCCTATTCTATGCTTTGGAGTTGGAGCCCCTCCTTCACTGACTAAGAGACAAGGCATGCAGTTCAGCCTTGCATGGAATTGCTGTCCCTGGAGGTGCTCAAGCCAGGGTTTCTGCATACACCGATGACAAATCCATTTTTGTGCCATGCTATAGTAACATTGAGGTGGTACAGAAGGCGCTTGAATGGTACAAAAGGGTCCAAGATTAACTGTGACAAATCTTCTGGTTTGTGGTTAGGTGCCTGAAAAGGGATTGTGCTTCCGGGACCCTTAAGTTGGACAGATGGATCCATGATTATGGCCTTGTGTGAGACTAAATTACATAGAATGCCTATTCTAGAACTATAGTGAGCAAGTAGATGACTTAGTATTATAGCCTTGTGTCAGGCTTTATTAATCTAGTGAATATCTAAATAATTACTTTTAGTATATCTAGACAGTTATAATTTCTTGCCTTATGTCTGCTTCAGCCTTAATATATCATAGAATAATTGCTGTGTTTGTATAAGAAGTGTCAGTTATACAACAAAATGATTAGTGACATCACTCAAATATTGTTAATGCTTTCTGTTGACTGAGAAAAGGTCTTTTCATATTTTTTTAATTTAATTTTTATATTTTATTTATTTTTTTTTTTGTCATAAAATACTTTTTTAAATGTTTTTCTTGGTGTACCTTTTGACTTGGTTATATTCACTTATATACAAATAGACTTTGTAAAGGTATGAATCCATCTCCAGCTTTGAAATTAGGACTTGGGGTTTTCTTTTATTTTGCTGGAATATTTTTTTTTATTTTCTACCTTATTCTTTAAATCCTGAATTTTGTGAATTCTGAATATTTTTTTATGTGTGATGTAAATAATATGTTGAAATATCTTGTCTGGGGACAGGGTTTCCAGACAAGACCTTGTGAAAATCCAATATAACTAAATTTTTGATTTTTTCCATTTTTGACTTTATTTTTTAAAATTAATTTGAGTTGTCTCTTTTCTTTTTCTTTAATTATTTCACCCCAAGTAAGGCAATAAAGACACTAAGATGTGAGGGATTACTGAGTGTTAAAGAATATGAGAAAAAAATAAAACCCTATTAAGGAGAGAGAATAATAAAAGAACACAAATTAAGAAGACAGAAGATAATGATGGACATTGCATTTAAATTTTTGAAGATCAAAATTAACTGAGAAGCAAGAAAAATTACAATTACCATGAAAGTATTTATAAAAAAGGTACAGAGAAGCTACATTATTGCAGTAAAAAAGTGACTGAAGGCAAGATGCCAGGTCAGGACTAATACCATTGCAAATTATTTTTTGGATTTTATGAAGAATCTCTAAATATATAACAGATGTACCAGTCCAAGTGGCAGCAATATTCACAGCAAGGACAAATGGTAGATTTATAAATATGTAAGATAGATTGCCTCGTATGACACAGTGAACCCACTTTCCTAGCAGCAGACCTAGCAATTGATTCAATATAATCTTTTCACTTCATGTCAGCAAGAAAAAGCTGATTGCTGGAAGAGTGGGTTTTCTATTGTGGCTCTGTGAATTTGTGATGGTTTACTTTCCTTTTCCTTACAGTTTTGCTATTGATATTGCTATTAGTTGTTATTTAGACTAATGTGATTAGAAAATAAAATTGGGGGTGTTTTTATTACAATGTCGTAAATGTGGCAGTGTAAGTGAAAATCAGCCCAAGAATAGCAATAGTACATCTTTACATTTGTTATCTGAATGACATATTAACTGAAAGAAAGCCAGTTAGCATTCATCCAGGAAAGTTATATTTCAAATGAGAGATGGACTTTTATGGAGTTTTGGCATATTGTCATCTTTTCAGGTCAATTTTTATTAAACAACACACTAACATGAATCTAATTATTTTGGTTGTCTTTGTTCAAATATAAACAAACATATTTATGATAAAATTTTAATTCATTTGTGTGTTGTAAGAGACAAGAGTAAAAAGCTTTGTGACAGGAATCAATCATTATGTATTCTCATAATCTTCACTTCTTACCACCCTCCCCCTTTCATATCACTCATTTCATTCATCATAATCACTTTAACAGTAATCCTCTATCTCAAGCAACTCTTGGTTGGAGGGGGGGGCGGTTGTATTGAGTGAACTTTATTAAAAATAAAAAAAAAATAGACAAATACTGAAACAAGATGAAAAAGAATTTTAGATGTAATTCATTAACAAGTACCAAGCAAAAGAGGAAGGGAAAATTAATTGTTTGCTAAGGTTTTGTTGAATAATGCTGAGTTTAAACTTTTGGGTAAATTTTAAATTTTTTGTGGGTGTGGGGGATACAATTTGGGGATATTTATTTTCTAAAATAAAATTAGTTTTGTTCAAAGTAAACGAGCACTATCAAAATTAATGTTTGCTATTAACATATATTTTAATTAAAGAAAACTTTTAATTTTGGGCATTAATGTCTCTTATTAGCAACAAGACACTTTCAAAAAAATTCTTTAAAATTTCATGTTTCAAATAAAATTGAAACAAAAGATTTTTTGTAATAAAGTAGCAATTAACATATTTGTAAAATTGAATTTTTGAAGTGGAAACAGGCGCATTTTTAAACTGTGAAGAATCTAACAAGTTAAATAATTTTTCATTAAAGGAATTCTAAATAACTTATGGCCTGAAAGAGAAAAGCTTTTGGTAAATTTTGATTTAAATCTTATTTAGACTTTCATCCATTATTTTTTGTGCTTGTCCAGACTTGCCACTTGCCACTCGGTTGAGAAACCAACTTCTCTTGATTTACCCACTGAAGCAGAAGTGTTCTTGTTTTTTGTTTACAATATAGACAAATCACATGACCAAAGGTGAGACTTGTCAATTTATAACGTGTTATTGATGGCTGCCAGGCATTCATATGAAATGGCAGTGTTTCAAACTCAGGAAGTACAACTTGATCTTCGACAAAAGTTGAAAGGTAGAGTTTCTGTTTAATTATAGTGCTTTATAAGACGTTCTCTCTGTTTTATTTTTTTTTTTGTTTTTTGTTTTTTCGTTTCCAAATATTTTTTTTTATCCATATACAAACATAATTCATGAAATTTTAATCTTTAACTATAAGTTTTAAATGTCAGGAAAATGTTCATCAAGAGTTTGATTTCATTTAACTTTTGAGGCAAGAAACTAAGAAGAAAATGATTTAATATAAAACTGTCTTTTAATTTTAGATTCTTGTAAATGGAATGTAAAGAGTAGGAGTTGTTTATTTTGTTATCTGGATGGAATAGTTCTGTTGTCTTCAAAGAAAGGATTTGTCATAGGTAAGAAACTAACATTCACCATGTGGTGTTGATTCTTATGTCCATACTGTGTGTATGTGTATATATATATATATATATATATATATATATATATATATATATATATATATAATATATAAATTGCATTATTTATAAGGAAAGAAGAGTGCTCACTATCAGAAATAGAGCATTTGTAAATATTAGACTGCTGATTCCTATGTTCACATTGTGTCTGTTTTTTTTATATATCTATATATATATATATATATATATATATATATATATATACACACATACATAAACACACACACACATATATGTGTGTGTGTGTGTACATGCACAAGGTTGATCCAGAAAGTGTTAAACCATTTAATATCAAGTTAAAAATAGCCTACTCAGGGCAATGTAGACTTAGATGCCATCAATATATTCCCTTTGAAATATCATTCATTTTCCATTATCCTTTCCATTTTTAAAAACAGCCTCCAAAAATTCCCTTTCAAGATCAACATTATTTGTATCATTGCATTCTCCTTAATCTTTAATCTAATCCATATCTTAATCCCCAAGATAAGCACAAGTTAGAGTTGCCCAAATAAAGGCAATAAAATTTATTCCATGTTTTTTATTACATCAAAATTTAGTTTATGTAATTTCTTGTTAAATAATTTCAAGAGAGATAAAATCGTGAGGTCATTAACAACTTGTATTAATTTATCAGATGGTATCCACTGGAACTCATTTGGATTTGAATTCAGGTTTTAAACACTGTATTGATTGCTAAGAAAAAGTAATCAATTTTAATCTGAAATGTACTTTTCAGTTTAAACGTCTGTAGATATAATTATAAGGCTCTGTACTTGGAGGTAAATGCCAAATACTGACACTGAGATATACGACATGTTACTTTTGAATTAAGACAAGATGTGAAATACAACACATGACCTTTTTGATGAGGGTGGTTGTCATAAAGGGTGGCATAATTGTTATTAATATAGAAAATGGAATTGGTGAGATAGGTTCAAATTTCAACCTAGTCTATTCATTTTTGCACAAATACTCATTGCAAAAGGCATGAACTCCTCGCTTCTCACCTTCAGCTATATGTAGACTGGGCTCTCTAGTCATGGGTAGCAACCAGTCTAGGAAAACGACGATTCTAAATTCAAAACACTGGAAAAGGTGATGGGAAACTACTGTTATTTTAATAAAGAAAAGGAATCTTTAAGAGCCATAATTTTTTTTACATCCTGAAGGGATACGATATTTAGTAGGGAAAAAGTTACCATAAAAAAACCTGATTTCTTAGGATTTTCCTTTGCTGCAGACATCAGGGTGTTCCCTACTTAGTGCAAAAGAAGAAATACTGTGTTTCAGAAGAGACCATGGTTACCAAGCTATGTTTCTTCTTTATTCCACTTCCAGAGATTGACAAACCCCAAGAAATGTTGACTTATCTAAAATATTTTCTGTACAATGTTTTGTGCTTAGACCCACAAATGTTAATTCCTATAATCAGTCATTCCTTTTAAATAAATTGACAAAAAAAAAAATATTATATACATTTAATTTCTGTCTTACTGAGTGTATATTTTTTGTTACCTATGTTTCACTGGAAGCCATTATCTTTCCTTATCTGAGTTGAGATAAGGTAAATATTTTGTTTGTTTAGTATGATATATGCACAGTATATAAAATGAGGTGGCTTTGTTTATCTGCTGAATAGTTTGAAATATGAGAAAACTAAATAAACAGCATTATCAAAAGTGTACAGGACAAAATTAAATGCAGTAATATCATAATTGCACGTTTGAAATTATTTAGAAAGAAAGGAAATATTTAATCTCTTCACTGTTCAATTTCTGCAGACCAGATTTTACTATTTTTACTCATTGATACTTTATTATTATTATTATTATTATTATTATTATTATATCTCCAAAGTCAAGGAACATTTTCATTGTAATATACATTGTCCATTGAATGAAATAACATGTTATGGTGGTTCCATTTCTCAGCCAGTAGTTATCATGTATACATATAGCTAGGAGATTAAACAGGATATATATATACACACACACACACTCTTTATTTTAGGATATTACATCAAAGCATGTAAAAAAAATGCTACACAAATGCAATCATGTTTCAATGTGAACTAACACATCTCATATTGCTCTACTTCTGTATTGAGCTCTCTTTTAAATTGAATGTTACAGACATTGGAATTGGATTCTATTCATTCTCATTTCACACACTCACACACACACACACATATAGTTTTAAAGTATGCTATATTTATGTGTTAAAGTGCTCAATATCAGGGGTAGAGCATATGTAAATATTCAAGTGGACATTCAGGTCAAGACCCAGTGGTGACAGTCAGTTTCATGCTTAAATGCAATTTTCAGGCCATATGCCTGAAGATCGTGCTTAAGCATGAAACAGACTATTATCACTGAATGTTGACATGAATGTCCACTTTTATTATTATTATTATTATTATTATTATGTAATTTTCTATGGATGGACATACTCTTTACATTTTTCTCTGCTAAAGAAAAAGATCCATATCATTTAAATAACATTTGAAATAGTAAATACCTTGGAAAATTCCAATTTAATTCATGTGTTACAAAGTTTTTAAAATGTCTCTTCTTTTTATTACTCAAATCTTAATAAAATTCAGCAAGAAATCAATTATTTTAAATCTGATTTAGGTAAAGATACCTAAATTACATCAAATATTACATCAAAACATAAAAAATGCTACACAAATGCAATCATGTTTTGTTGTATACTAATGCCTGATGTGTTAGTACACATCGAAACATGATTGCATTTGTGTAGCGTTTTTTTACATGTTATTGATGTAATATCCTAAAATAAAGAATATTGCTCTACTTTTGTATTGAGCTCTCTTTTAAATTGAATGTTACAGACATTGGAATTGGATTCTATTTATTCTCATTTCACACACACACACACACACACACACACACATATATATATATATATATATATATATATATATATATATATATAATCACGGTGGAGTAATGGATAGCGGCTTGGATTGAGGAATCGCAGAGCCAAGTTCAAATTCCATTCGAATCCATTACATTCACTTACGTGCTAATACCCTTGGGAAAGGTATGAATCCTCTTCCTCTCCCTCCAGCTATGGGTAAAATAGTAGGACAGACTGGGTTCCATAGCCTTGGATGGCAACTGGTCTAGGAGAAGGACAACTCTGAATTCAAAACCTGTGGAGGGTCGTTTGGGAACTTTGTGGCACTCGGTGCACCAGGTCTCTGTATTCGTCCCTTCAAAAAGTGTGGATGGTCCTGCACGAAGCTTTCACCACTATAATCAAATCTCATGTGCCGGTGTCGGGCTGTCGGTTTCCTGATCTGCTTGACCCTCATACGTCGAATCTCGATGGGAGAGTCGACTATATCATTTTACTGATATACCAATATTGGTAAAATCAGCAAAATCATTTTTGAAAGAGCTTGAAATTACTCTAAAATTACTCTAGGAATCAACCAGTGGCAAAAAAAAAAAACAGCTTATGCCATAGAATGGTTTAGTAACATAAAAAACAAACATGAATGTACATTCATACGATTTGCTGTTTGTGACTTATACTCATCCATTACTAAGAGGATACTAATGGTGTCTACAAAGCTAGCTAGAGATTACTGCCTTATTAGTGATCAGGAAATTAATATCATAAAGCAGGCACAAACATTGATACTTTTCCACAATGATTGTCTGTGGACTAAGAGAGACAATCCAGTGTTTAATATTGCTGATATTGCAAAAACTCTGTAAATGCAACATCATATGGTTTAATACACCTTTCAGCCATAATGTCCAAACTAATGTCGGAAAAAGCATTTTAATCATTCACCTGAATTAAAAAAAGATTTTTTAACAAAATTGATGTCAAAATCAGTTATAGCTGCACTGGTAATATCAATAGATCTATATCACTACACAACATCATATTAAGTAAACATCTTTTCAACAAAGACAATGTAAATTTTTCAAAAAATAAATGCAATTGCCTAAAAAAAATGATCTGTCCATTAAATGGTCAATGTATGACTGACAATGTTGTATATCGAGCAAGCATATATTCAGGTAGTGATGTTAAATTTTATTTTGGTTCTAATGAGAATCCTTGGAAGAGGATATAGAATCCTGACAAATGCCAGCTTAGGGAAAAAGTACTATGATTCATTAAGTATATATATACACACACACACACACACACACACACTTCTTTCTTTTGTTTTTGAATCTGATGAAGCCTTGAAAGGCAAAACGTGTAATCAAATCTAGTTTCAATGAAATATTTTCCATTTGTCAGATTTCTTTAAAAATTATCCTATTTTAAACCCATATTGTTGAAACAAAACATATATACACACACACACACACACACACATGCATGCACACACATATATATATATATATATATATATATATATATAGTGATTGAAAAGTAACTCCCTATTTTGTGCATGAGTGGCCAGCCAGGAGTCCTGACTTAACACTCTGCGACTTTTTTCTTTGGGGTTGGTTAAAGGAGTAAGTCTATTATCCCAAACCAAGACTTTGGAAGAACTTCAAGAGCAAACACAGGAAGTTATGTCTTCCATACCATAAGAGTTCCTGGTGAAATCAGTTGATGCGATTCCTGGGAGGCCCAAGAAACTGGCGGCAAAATCTGGTGCCCATATTCAATTTTAAATAAAACCTCATGTTAAACACTTTCCTCTGATATCTATTTCTTGTAAAAATTATAGTTTTGTCTGTAGGCTAACATTCTCCTTCTAGCTCTTCAGAAAGAAAATGCTCACTAGCACTCAAAGTATTGTGAAGAGCTGGAAAGTGAAAATGAACTTGCAAATGAGTTGCTTTTGGGGGGGGGATTACTTTGCCTAATTTAGACATTGAGCACTTTAAAAGAGCATTTTATTTACACACACACACACACACACACACACACAC